ACCTTACCGACGCCCCCTCCTGGCCTGACATCCCCACCCCGGGAGAGCCACATTTTGAAAACAACTCGCCCTCAATCCGTAAAACTCTCGCAAATGTGCAAAATGAATGTGCACGACGCTAGCGGGAGAGCCACATTTTGAAAACCACCCGCCCTCAATCCGTGAAACTCTGGCAAATGTTTAAAAACGAATGTGCGCGGCGCTACGGCGAGAGCCACATCTTAAAAACCACCCGCCCTCCATTTGCGAAATTGTTGCCACGTTTTAAGCTTCAGTGCCATACATAATAAGGAATCTCGGGCGAAACGCCCGGCCCGCCCTACAAAAAAAATAAAAAAGTCCAGGCCTTCTTTGGGGTCGGCGGCAGAGGCGGCAGCCTTTAGATAAGGAATGCTGGGGTCTTCTGGCGACGGCGAGCCCCGTCCACAAAGCGGCTACCCGAGCTAGATCAACGGCGCGGCCCGAAATCCAGAGCCCCGCCCGAGCCCCAGGTCGTCCTGGTTTCCAGCGCCCTGACTGTTTCGCATGAGTGCCCTGCACGGTCGCGACGAAACTTTTGCTCAGCGTGTCGCGGCGCCGGCCCCAGCACCACGCTGTGCCTTGCAAGCGGACGGCGTGTCGCTCCGCTCCGCGGGGCGGGAGATCGGGAAACGCCGACGCCTGGGAATGGGAACGCGGCTGGCATCAGGAGAGCCCCCTCCCTGGCCCAGGCCAGGAGGCCTGCACACCGACCCAGGGCCCAGGCAGTGCCTGGCCGGCGCTGGGGGTGGTGGGTAGTTGGCGCCCCTCCGAAGCGCGTCGCGCCGAAGCGCGGTGCGCCAGTGAGCTGGCGGCGCGACGCGCCCAGCCGCCCTTCCTGACCGCAGCCTCCCGAGAGGGCCCGCCCGAGGAGGCGAGGCAGGCCGCCGCCTCGTTGCCGAGCCGGAGGGCCCCGTCTGCGCGCTCCGGAGGGTCGGAGACTGGGCCCTCTCGGGGACGCTACAGGAGTGGACGAGCCGATCTCCCACCACCACTACCAGTAGGCAGAAGAGGGAGGAGGAGAAGGCTGAGGAGGGGGGCGACGAGGGGGGGGAGGAGGAGGATGAGGAGGAGGAGGAGGAGGAGGAGGAGGAGGAGGAGGAGGGGAGGAGGAGGAGGAGGCGAAGAACGAGGAGGGGTTAGGAGGAGGAGGAGGAGGAGGAGGAGGAGGAGGAGGAGGAGGAGGAGGAGGAGAAGGACTTTCCCATCCTCCGCTCTCCCCCGCCCTACCTATGGTAGTGTGGGGGGGGGGGGGGGGGAAATCGGCCCATCCGGCAGGCGGTGCAAAAAAGAGGCAGGCCGGAGCTGCATCGAATCGCGAGATCGGATCGGCTGGGAAACGGATCGGATCGCCAACGAATCTTCGCGAAACGAACCACCAGCGGATCGCCACGCCCGGCTCTGGCTGGGCCCGGCCGACGCCGGGGAATCGAGCCAAGTTGAATCGAGTCGGAATCGCGGGCCCAAACCGCGAAACGAATCGCATCGAATCGGGTCGTACGCCTCCCTGACATGGGGGGGAGGATCCTCGATGCTCGGCGCAAACTTGCTCACTGCATTGCGTAGGCGCGCTGACGTCTCCCTGCCCCTTTGGCTTCTTCCTCCCTCTCCCCCGCCTCCTACGTCGGCCTGCGAACCGCAGAGGGCCGTCCGGGGCGGTGCGGGCTCTCCGGGAACGCTCGCACAGGCCACGGCGCAGCCTACGGAGGTGGCCCCTGGCTCTGAGCACCCCCTCCAGCAAAAGCCTTTGCAAGTTGTGGGTCGGCCCCCCCGCACCTCGAGCTCTCGAGTCGCACATCCGAGCCAGGAGAGCCGTGTGTGTGTGTGTGGGGGGGGGGGGGGGCGACGCGGGCGCCCCTGGAGAGATCTGATGGACGAGGGACCTTTTCTCTGCCGCTCCCACCAAAGGAACCGAACTCTACACGCCGACGTGTTTCTCCAGCCCTGCACTGAAGCTCGCACAGGAAAGCGGATCCTGGTGTATACGGGATGCTGGTGTATACATGTTCGCCATTTCCCCAAGAAACAAGAAACAGGGAAACAACTAGACACCACACCACCCCGACGTCGTCCCTGACCCTGAAAAAGTCAGGGATTGAAAAACAGCACGCCGCTGGTTATGTAGATGTTCCAGTTTCCGACAAAACATCTGCCCAGTGTTCACCGTCGGCGGCGAGCCCGAGGGGGGCAAGCGAGAGGGCGCGGGCCTCCTCGGAAGGCTCGGAGGGCCTCCTGCCTTCCGACCAGTCCTCGGAGCCTTCTCCGAAGACGCAGAAAACCGCTCCGAAGGCTGGGGGGGGGGGCTTCTGAGAAGCCCCGTCGCCTTCGGAGAAGGCCTGCTCCCTCCCAGGCCACCCCCCCGGGCTCGCCGCCGACGCAGGGCGACAACGGTGTCATGATGGGGTTGGCGCAAGCCGCGCGCCAGGAGTGCCAGAGAGATCTGGGCGGCCCTCGCCTCTGGAGCCCGTGCGGCACAACAGGAAGTCCGGGAGATCGGGGAAATATCCTGAAAACCTTGGACTGCAACGCTGCCATGACTTCGTGGACCAGAAAACGAAGGACACCACCCCACCTGCGGCCCCACGGGGCTTAGCGTATACCAGGACATCTGGCGTGGGCTTCTGCGTGGTGTACGCTGCGGCGCCAGATGGGCCGTAGCGCAACATCGAGGGCCGTAGGTGGGGTGGTGTCGTTTGTTTTTGCTGCCGACTTCTTGCCTCCTCCGAGCTCAAGAAATCCGGCGCCTCGGAGGAGGCGCCGCGTGCGTCCTTCTTCAGCGCCGCTGCCTCGGCCTGCTCCTCCTCGACCTTCTGGGAGCACTGGTCGCGGGCGGCGCTGCTGGCCTCTCTGGCCTTCTGGGCGTGCTCGACGTCCAGCAGTAAGGCGGCGTTCTTGGCGTCCTTCTCCGCACCTCACGACGTAATTGACCCCCACCCCTCGCATTCCGATTCCCCGCCCGCTCCTCCCATCCCCCGGATCAACTCCTTTTAGGCCTGCCAGCCCTCATCCTCATCTCCACCCCACGGCCGACAGGCCGACTGGAACACTCCACAGCCTTCTCCGTAACAGAACTTGCCACTTTGAACTCCCCGAAAATCACATTCAATCACGTTGCCACCGTGCCCCTCGCCATCTCCATTCCCATCCCCCTCCGCATCACCAGAACCATCGCCATGCCCTGCTGCCGGTCCTCATCACCATCCACATCCCCTGCCCAATCCCCTCCCCATCCCCGTCCTCCGTCCTTCTGGTTCCTCCAGCTTCCTGCCCAGGAGGATGGAGGACGAGGAGGAGAACGAGGTTCGGATAAAAAAGGGTATAAAATCTGGATATAAGAGTCGGGGATCTCCAAGACCCTGCGGGACTGGAAAAAATGCGTCTGGTGCCGCTGCCGCTCCAAAGCGCTCCGGAACGGTCGGAGAATGATGATGATGATGATGATGATGATGATGATGATGATGATGATGATGATGATGATGATGATGATGATGATGATGATGGTGGTGGTGGTGGTGGTGGTGGTGGTGGTGGTGGGCATGATGATGATGGTGGTGGTGATGATAATGATGATGACGACGATCACTTGATGATGATGGTGATGGTGATGGTGATGGTGATGATGATGATGATGATGATGATGATGATGATGATGATGATGATGATGATGATGATGATGATGATGATGATGATGATGATGATGATGGGGATGGTGACGATGATGTTGTTGAAGATGATGCTGGGGATGCTGACGATGATGATGACGTTGGTGACGATGATGAAGTTGATGATGATGGTGGGGATGGTGGCTATGATTTTGATGATGAGGTGGTGATGGTGGTGATGATTGGGCCTCTCGCTCTGGACACGCCCGCACGTTCCGCCCTCGGCTGCGGAGAAGTCGGAGTCGCCCTGCGCGCGTCGCGGTCTGGACCAGAGCGGCTGCCCTTCTCTGACGGTGCGGCGTGGAGGGCGCGAGGACAGTCGCGGGGCGCGATGCGCGGAGGGCGATTCTCTTCGCGCCTCCGCGGGTGACCTGGGCTCCCGCAGCCGAGGCGTGGCCCCTTCTCGGCCAGAGGGGAGGGCCCCACGGGCACGCCCAGAGCGAGAGGCACAGTCACCACCACCACCATCAGCTCCATCAGCAATACCATCACCATCACCATCACCATCACCATCACCATCACCATCACCATCACCATCACCATCACCATCACCATCACCATCACCATCACCATCACCATTACCATTTTCATCATCATCATCATCATCATCATCATCATCATCATCATCATCATCATCATCATCATCATCATCATCATCATCATCATCATCATCATCATCACCACCACCATCATCATCATCATCATCATCATCATCATCATCATCATCATCATCATCATCATCATCATCATCATCGTCATCATCATCATCGTCATTCTGGGTCTGCACCCCTGCCGCTCCAAGCGCCGCCCTGGCGCGGTGGCCCCGCGCGCCGCCCGCGGCGGAGCGGAAGTCCCGGGAGGCACGCCCGGGCGTCCCCGGGAGAGACTTCGGCCGAGGAAGACGGCGGCGAGGATGCGGGGGGGGGCAGGGCAGCGAAAGGTGACGTAGCCGGAGGCAGTGGAGGAGGAGTCAGGGGGGGACGCGGGGGAGGGCGAGGCGGACGAGGAGGGCCACGACGACGACGAGGGCGAGGGGGGGGGCGGCGGAGGGGGGGGACAGGGGAGGAGGGGGAGAAGGGGAGTGGGAGGGCCGCACTCGAGTTCCCTGTCCGCGGCCGCCTTCCTCCTGTCCGTGCTTGTGCTCACAGTCTCCTGTGCTTCTCCAGAATGTTTCTCCGACGGGCGCCTCGTCCTCAAAGATGGGATGGGCTTGGGAATACAGGGGGGTGCCTCCACAGGGGGAAGATGATCCTCGATTTCGGTGTTGGTGGCAATATTTCGGTCACCTTGGAAGCCAGAATATTACCACCACCACCGAGATCGGCATCTTCTTCCCTCCGTGGAGGCACACCGCCGATATTGGTGTTGGTGTCAACCTCTAGGCCTGCAACATGAGAAGATCACGACGGGAAGTGTTTCACTATCTTCGGCCCTGGGGCTCTTACCAGGCCTCGGGGCCGTCAAACGGCGACCTGGGACGAAAAGCTGGTCCCGGGGAATGGGTCGAGACCTCTGGGGGTCGACGATATCACAAGAATCATGACGCCCGGGGCCTGGGAGGCAAAGGTACCGATACCGCTGCCCTTCCCTCGTTTTCCCCTTCTCGGGCCTCCTGGAAAGTCCTCATCACCACCGCTTGATTCGCCTCGAAATCCTGCTCAGAAAGCACCCCGGGAGGTCTGGAGAAAACGCCATGCATGAGCATTGTTTTACCACCCCTATGCCCGTGGGCGTGGCCTCGGCCTCACTGCCCGATGTGCCCCCCTGGATGGGGATGCGGGCCGTGCTCCTCTCGCTTCGAGGGCCAGATCCCCATGTGGGAGGATGAGATGGTGGGGGTCTGGATGGGGATGGGCCTGGGGATGGGGTCGGTGAAACGATCCTGCATGCACGCGTGCTCTCTGTGCGCCGCCGGGCCCGAAAAGGCAGACCCGAGCGCCCAGCACGGCGTGGGCGCACGCCCCGGCACACGTGTGCCACCACAACGGGCACACGTTTCTTGGTCGGCGGGGCGCTAGCGAACCTCTTCCTCCCCTCCTCCTCCTCCTCCTCCTCCTCCTCCTCCTCCTCCTCCTCCTCCTCCTCCTCCCCCTATCCCCTCCTCCGCTACGCACAGCTTTAACTAGGGAGACAGGGCACAGGCGGGCGGGGCCTCAGGCGGCCGGAGTGGGCGGAGCCCGGGGTGCAGGCGGTGCCGAAGAGCCTGCACAGGAAAAGGAACGTCCACAACGGGCACACGTGCATCCACTGGTAAAGCAAGCACAGGCTGGGACTGGCCTCCGGTCCACTAGTCTTGGCCAGCACCGGAGCAGCGCCGGCACCACGCCGTGCGGAGCCAAAGACTCGCGCATTCTCACCTCTCACTCACCGTATTCGGATCTCCAAGCTCTGCCATGCCGCAGGTTGCTTCGCAGTGTTCGCAGTACTGCTTTGCTTCGCACGAAGAGCTGCTCAGGGGCGCCCCGTAGAGCCATCGCGCCCAAGACGGCCCCCGAGACCCTCGACGGGCCTCCCACGGGCTCCCCATGAGAGGCGGCCCTCGGCACATGGGAGCCGACGCTGCGGCAAAAGTGCGGCATCGCGAAACATCATGTTAGCCAGCGCGGGCCCCAACGCACGAAAGTGATTGCGCTGTGGATGTGCAAGATGTGCACTTCGAACTATGTGGTGCAAGCTATGTCATGCAACATCCGCTAGGGGTGGCGGCAGCGAGGCGGCAACGGGCGGCAACGTGGCGGCACCTCGCCAGACCGACCCAACGCACGAGGCAACAGCGAGGCGGCAACGCTGCGAAACCTCGCCGGACCGACCCATCCAACTCCTTAAGAATGAAGTGAGAACCCGTGAGTGCAAACACAAGCTACATGAGACCTATACCCTCCACCTCGATGTTGTCCTCCCCGCAGCACCCTGCTCTTGGATCCGACGCTACGAACAAAAATACAACATCGCGAAAAGTCACGGCCCCAACCCAAAACCCCATCCTTTTGGGGTATTTTTCGAGCCAGATCGATATGTGATGGCCCAGGGGCCGAAACCGAGCGAAGACGCCCGGTGTGAACACATCGCAACGCCTGGATCCCGGGGGTCGTTGGAGGTTTGGGCTCTCGGCCCACAGCGCTGGCCTCCGGCGGCCGTTCGGGGCGACTCTGAGACCCACAGAGCGCTCACGACGAGGCGCAGCTGCTTGGAAGCCTCCCGCGGGGAAGAAGCCTACAGCAGGGCAGTTTTTAAGACATAGGATGTTTGAAAAGCATTTTTTGGTTTTACAAAAAAAACATGGCTAATTCAAGAAGAAGTTTATGCATGGACACATCGTTGCTTGTAATACTGAGTCCCTGCATTTGTAATACATGATCCGCACGCGGAGCATGTATCAAAAGCGAGAACCCACGACAACTTCCGAAGCCTTCCGATGGTCCATCACGCACGTCGCTCCCGAGCCTCGGCGGCCTCGGGGGAGTGTGTGTGTGTGTGTGTGTTTTTGCTTGTTCCCTGCAGCCACCCAGCGCAGATGAGCGTCGCCCACGCGTGGCTCAAGAGACTCCCGTGGAGTACGGGGATGAAAAACGACCCTACCCTGGGTTACAGGTGCGTGGTCTGTAAACCTCCTGGGAAGTCCCAGAGCCTAGAAAGCCGCCAGGACGCCGCACATCACGCAGGGTTTATCCTGTCAGCCCACAGGAGGTTCAGCGCACAGCGCCTCGCTAACCAGGGTAGGGGTGTTTGTGTTCCTCTATCGATTCCACTATCGATCTCGTTACCAATCTCACAATCGATCTCAAGATCCATGTGACTAATTGTTTTCAAATCATCCGCTGATGGAGGGCTTCTCACGTGTAACTCTTTTTTGGTCTCTGCAGCCACCCAGCGCAGATGAGCGTCGCCCGCGCGTGGCTCAAGAGGCTCCCGTGGAGGGCACGCCGGGCTGGCACGGTGGTGGCGGCCGCGCGGGTGGCGGCCGCACGGCGGGGGAGGGGGAGGAGGGGGAGGAGGAGGAGGAGGAGGAGGAGGAGGAGGAGGAGGAGGAGGAGGAGGAGGAGGAGGAGGAGGTGGAGGAGCAGGAGGAGGAGGAGGAGGAGGAGGAGGAGGAGCAGGAGCAGGAGGAGGAGGAGGAGGAGGAGGAGGAGGTCCAGGAGGAAGAGGGGAAATGAATTAATGAATCAGCTCGGGGACTCCTGCTGGGAACGCCTGCCAACTAGCCTCTCGCCAGTGCAACAAGAATCACATCAGGAATCTGAGTTGGGAA